TGGTAAAGAAAGATGAGATCAGCTGATGGATGCAAGATTTCAGATGCCACACAGGGAAGTTGGTGTTGACCCACAGGTTCCAGAAGGCTCTTGAGCTGGTCATATTTTGAAGACTGTTTGGTGTTCACAGTGAAAGCACAAGGTGGGTGACCTGTCTAGAGGTCTGTCCTGAGGTAATGATGTCCTCTGCGGTCACCTTAGATGTGTGGACGCTTCAAGGAAGAACTGACATGATCTAATAGATGATATCATATGTTCACACACAGACAAGTGGGAGTCAAAGATAAGAGCCAGTGTCCCCAGTCAATGGTGATACCCCTCTTAGACCTGGAGAATTTGGAAAGTGGTATTAGTTTTTGTCAAAAGATTGTGACTCCAGACTTAGACTAAAGGAGCTTGAGGTAACAGGGTGGCAGTAAGCTCAGCTTGAGGAGAGTGGGTTGCAGATTTGGGAAGCTACAGAGGGGATACAGGAAATGTGTGGCCGGAAAAAGATCCCTTAAAACAGGGACCAGAACTTTGCCAGTGAGTAGTGAGAGGTAGGAAGAGGTTTGATTAGGACTTGATATTGAGAAATAAAAAATTTTTAAATAAATATTGGAAATGTAAATCATAAGTGCCACACAGCATCCTTCACTTCACTTGGCCTCCCACTCTCAGAGAGACAACTATTTCTTACAGTTGTTTTTGGGCTTCTTTGATTTTTCCAGGCCCCCTAGTAATTCTTGATATGCATGTCATTCTTTTTTGAAGTATCCTTCGTTTCATTTTCTTATTGAGAGGTCTAAGCCCTTCCAAAGTGTCATTTCTCTATGATTTTATTCTTCTGAGATTTGAAAAGTTGCTAATGTCTGTTTCACTGCATCCTGAATTTTTCACCATAGAAGGTGTTTTACTTTGCAATTAATTCATGCAGTATTATTTTCATGGTTTTCCTTAAAACTGTTATTGAGAGACTAAGTGACAAATATTTACCCAGGACTAGATGGGCTTTACTCCACTGAAGAATGTTCAGCTAAGGAGGATCCCAGTAGCTGAAATCAGGAGAGTTAATGCATCTCTCTGGTGATAGGTCTGACACAATTTAGGCCTTTTAAAAACATGGTGGCTTATGTAATGTTACTAAAATGTTTGCCTCCCTAAACTCTAGTGCCAAGATTGCTAGTTGCAAATACAGTTGGAGTTTACATTTTCAGATCAAATTGCCGTATTGTTGACTGCTGGGTAATATTTAGTCATACTTTTGTCCTAAAAAAGTAATTCATCAATTTATAAATTGTCCTGTTTTCTCTCTGTCTTTAAAAAAAGACAAATTTTGTAGCTTACAGATATATCTATCCTTTTTGTCAAAATTCTCACGACTCAATAAAAAGTCCTGAGATAAACACCAGATTAAGTGATGTTTACTAAATTTACTCTGATTACTCTAACAGTGCATCTTCCCCTTTGAAATGTGTTCTTTTTTCTGCTTTCCTCCCACTCCCAGGAATCCTTTCCTGTTGACTAGCCTTCATCTTCTCTGAACTCTTATAGCAAGAGTTGGGATAATTTGCCTTCCCTTATTCTCATGATTGTTCCTGGGTATTCGTGTGTCTCTGTAACTGTCTGCAACCTTGAAATCTGGAGTCAGGGGTGTTACGTCTCTGTGTCCTTTGTTATCACTTCATAATACTCATCTTTGGGTCACCAAAGTCTTCTCCCAAGGATGTTGACTTTAAGCTGTTAACTAAAACCTTCTTTTCTTTTGTTCCTATTTCAGCTAGCACATAAGTCTGTATTTTAAAAAAATATTCAGATGGGAATTAAGTGTCTTGAGAGTTTTTGAGATTGGCATTCTTGATATATCCAGAAGAGGATTTAATTCTGGAAACTAGTGGTAGCCAGCAGTCAAGGTAGCTTGTTAAAAATAGCTCTGTTGTTTCTTCTGATAATAAAATTAACATACACCCTTTAAGAAATACAGGCAAACCTAAGGAAGGAAATAAAGATGATTCATGATCTCACTACTCAGAAATAACCACTGTTAACGTTTTTGTTTCTCTCCTTCCATTTTCCTTCTCCATTATTGATGTAGTTTTTATCATTTAATATGTCATGGCTATCTTTCCATGTTGATAGAGATCTGCACCATAACCTGTAATAGTCACATCATATATTCCATTACATAAATGGATCACGATTTAATTTAACCCACCTCCCATAATGCACATTAGTTTGGTAACAGTGTTTTGCTGTTTTGCATAATACTATGATGAACACCTTTAGACATATTTTAGTGATTTTACCCTATTATTTCCTAAGGATGAATTTCTCGAAGTCTGATAAGTAGGGCAGAGGTAAGCATGCTTAAAATTTTTATATGTTAACCCATATGCCCCCAGAAGTTTAATAACTATTTAGTTCTCCCCAACAGTATACTCATGGCGTTTTTCCTTCCCCCTTGTTAGCAAAGTATTGTCAGACTTTAATCTCTGCCAATCTGATAGTGGCAAAGTCTTGTTTTTATTTATATTTCTGTAAATATTAATGAAGTTATATTTGATATGGTTTTTATTTCTTATTTTGCTAATTTCCAATTATCCTTGCTCATTTTTCTTTTCCAATGTTTTCTCTTATTTATAAAGAATTGTTGTAGCTCTTATTTATTTATAAGAACTTTTTATATATAAGGGATATTTACCTTTTTTCATGTATGTCACAAGTAGTTTCCAATCCTGTGTATTTGGGAAGGGATTTAAAAAAAACAAAACACTCAGAAGTTTGAAACTCATGTGCAGATGTATTTTCTTTCATTTATAGTTTGATACATTGATGTTTTTGGTAGAAAAGTGTTACCCATTTGAAGATTACATAAATATTTATGTACATTTCTTCTTATATTTTTACGGATAAATTAAATATTTAAATCTTTGAGCCTTTGGAAGTTTCATGAAAGGTATGATATAGTAATCTCACCATATTCAAATGTTAAAAGGTAGCTACTTTATAAAAACACACTACAATTCATCTAAATATCTAGGTAATTGACGTATATTCTTTCCTTTTGTATAAACTTTTAAATCGCAAATACTATTTGTCCTAAGTTTTGGGCACAGTACAATATGGACACCATATTAGAACCTGAACTAAGTAAAGTGATTTTTCCCCTTTTGTCCCCTTTTGTAATAATGTAGGCATTATTAATACTTTTTACCCTATAGTATTTTTTATGTGTATGTTTTATCCCCTCCCCTGCTTTATAAATTCTTTAAGGGCCTGATCAATATCTGATGCATCTTTGTACCTCCCATTCCCAGCCATCCATGAAACAAGCAATGTTTGTTCATCACGTGGGTGACAGGCACTAGTCACTGAGGAAATAGAAGAATGAGAGGCTGTCCCTGCCAATGAGGGGCTTGCCATGTAATGTAAAGTCCACCACAGATGGGACACTATAGCCCACCACTGTGACGAGCAAATACTCGGGTTATGAGTATCAGGGAAGTCCTCACAGAGGAATCACACTTGCCTTGTGTCATGAGGAATGCAGAGGAATGCCAACAGGTGGACCCAAAGAGAGTCTGTCTACAAATGCAAAGGAATGCAGGGCACTTGAAGGACTTACAGCTCGAGTTTAGTATGGCTAGAGCCTGGGGCGCCTGTCTGTCTGTCAGGGGATAAGACCAGAAAGAGGCAGGGACTCAGTCAGTGCCGACTAATGCAGAAGCTGGGTGGCTGCTGAGCCCTTGAAATGTGGCTAGTGCAGTGGAGGGGCTGCATTTTAATTATCCTAAGCAGCCACAGGTGGCAATGGCTGCCATTGTGAACAGTGCGACACTAGATCCTGAGAGACCTCCTTTACCACCCTGAGGAGTTAGTGGGGAGGTGTCATAGTCCCTGTTTGTTTTGCACAGATAACTCTAGTGTACAAGTTCCTAACATTTTTGGTTCCTAGAACTCTGAAACTTGACTTCTTGCCAGGCACTTTCTTAGGGTCTGTGAAGTTGGGAGTGAAGCAGTCAACCAAGATATAAATATGGCTCCTTGTGGAGCTTAACTCTGAAGGGGACACATGAGCAAGAGAAATGTACCCACACAAAGAACACAGAGCACACTAGAGGTCAGGGATAAAAGCAGAGATTCTCATGCTTGAATCTCAGCTTTTATCTATGATCACCTTATTAGCTATGTGACCGTAGGCAATTACTTAGCCTCTACCTCATCTGTAAAGTGTTATGCACATAGTAGCTACTTTGTAGGTTGTTAGGAGGAATAGATTAATATTTGTAAAGCATTTAAGCAGGTTCTGGCATGAAGTAAGCATAATACAAGTATTTCATGTACAAGTAAATTAAAAGGAGAGAAATCGGGGAAGGAAGATTGGGTGGCCAGGGAGGACTCCTGAGCAGGTGACAGTGAGTGATGACTTAAAGGGAGTGAAGAAGTGAGCCATACAGATTATTCCCAAGCAAAAGGAAGGGCATGTTCAGAGGCCTGGAGACCAGCAGTCTTGACGTGAGTGGGGACAGTGAGGACACCATCATGGCTGGACTGTAGTGAACGGGAGAGTAGAGGGTGAGGTCAGAGCTGCAACAGGAGGCAAGGTCCTGCAGGACTGGTAGGTCAGAGTAAAGCCTTTGGCGTTTACCTTAAGTGCATGGGAGCCCCTGGAGGACTTCTAGTACAGGAGTAACAGGATCCCTGACCTTAGCGGGATAGGTGCTATCCACTTCAGAAGGAGGATCTGTGCCTAAAGGCATTAGCTGAGGAACCAGAGAGCTGCTGCGTAGAGACTGCAAGTCGGGACTGACTAGTTAGGTTGCTGTTCAGATAGATCAGGTAAGGGATAAGAATCTGACGTCAGGCCAAAGTGCCAAGAGAAGCGACAGATTTTAGATAAATGAGGTTGAAGAAGTATAAGGAGTGTAAGAAACTGCCTATGAAAGATGAAGGGGAGGGAGGGTCGGGCATGCCTCCCAAGTCCAGCTTGAGCAGCCTGGCGGGATTGAGATTGAGACTGCGGAGGAGCAGATGGGGACCTCAGTGTACAAGTGCAATTTTAGAAACGTGTCTTGTGGGCCTGCACAGCACTCAGGTGGATATCAGTAGATTATTGAAGATGCGCGTCTGTCACTCAAAAGAGCAGCCTGAGGTGGTGAAAGAGATTTTTGAGTTACCAATCATTGTAGCAGTGATTGGGATTGACCAGGAGCAGGGATTCGATTTAGAAAAGAATGGAGCCAAGACAGAAGGAACCCACGGGGTCAGAGCAGACGGAATTTGCAGAAACAAGACTCGCAAGGGCCCTGAGAAACAGTGGTGCAGGAACTCAGAAGCAGACTGGAGAGACAGCTGTCTTGAGAGGCCTGTCACAGGAGAAGCAGAGCAAGACCAGGGGAGAGACCGGCCATCATGCAGCCTTTGGGTCCAGCAGGTTGGTAGGAGTCGCTGGCTGTAGGGCCTCACAGCCTCGATTTTCTCTGCGATTTGAGGCCTGGGGGCTGGAGGAGAGGCAGTAATTGGAAGTAACCCGGTGCTGACTGGGAACATAGTACCTTGCATGGTCACTTGTCCATATGAGAGATCTAATAGATATTTTTCAAATGAATGGATATTTTACTTGCCCACTCAGTTCTTCATTCTGCCTGCCTCCTACTCAGCCCTAACCTTCCTTAACAGTCAGTACCATAAGGTAGGTAGGGCCTACTGGTGACCTGGTAATTCGGGTCACTAATTGCCTTTTGGGTGGAGAGCATTAATGGGGCCAGCCTATTAACCCTCTCTTGATTTAGGCCTGTGTCTCTGACAGCATGAAATTAACTTAGTGGTGTGTTGCTCAGAATAAACCCCTCCGACAGCTTCAGTGCAAAGATCACATACCAGATTACGTGTAGTTGGATTGAAGCACGTACTTGGTAAAGAACATAGATGTTTAATGGATTGTGCCATCTTTGCGATTTTTCTCATTTCAGCAACAGGAGAGCGCTAACTCTGGGAGGACAACATTGTTCCTGTAACAGTGTGTGAGGACTGACTCCAGGACATTGCCTGACCTCTGAGCCTTCAGCATGGGGAGGTAAGTGATGGTACCTAATCACTGGCATTGTACAATCTGAGATTTTGGTGCCACAGAAACAGCTCTTGAGGGGGAAAAGATCTAAATCCCTAGTGGAAAGTGTTCAAAGTTGTGCTACACTTCTGTTTAAAACCTTTGTTCTCCCAGGGCCCCAGTGGGGTGCCTGCCACTGAAAGAAGTGATAATGCCAGGTGGATCCTGCAGGAGCTAATCTAGTTACCATAAAGGACATACATGTTGGAATCTGCAAGGGGCTGTGTTAAGTACAGGCTGAATGTAACCCTGGGGTGGGGCAGGGGGAGGGGCAGGATGATAAACTTCATGGAGTGACCCAAGAACCCCCATGGAGACTAAAAACTACAAATGGAAAATTCCACTGGGTTAGCAGGATTCCCCTGCTAACCCCTTCCATGAGTTATTTTAGTCCACGCAGAGTGTAGGAAACTAACTATAAAACAATAAAATGTATCCTAAAGGTAGCAAGGTTTTTTTAAGCCTAATAATAATAGTTTCTCGTTCCTGATGTAAACTGAGAAGAACAGTATTTATTAGCAAAAATGTCTTAGGGATCTTTCTAAAAACACAGGACTTAATGGAACTCATTTATTGTTTTATCTTACTGAACTTATCCTTGTAAGTTGTCTCTAATTCTGTATTTGGAACAAAGCAGGATACAGATAAAAATCTATATAATACTGTTCAAGAAAAGGGACAACAAAGAAGGGGCATAATCCTCAGGGTTCGATTCTCAGTCATATAAGTTTATGATGATGAGTTATAGAGCAAAACAGTATCAAACATGCTGATATACAGCTACCTGCTGTTAGGGAAACTGGGGTAGCTCCAGCTGAAGGCTTTACTTTCAGATCAGTGTATGTGAGGAGAAGACTGGAGCAGGTTGCTTTAAAATCTGTTTTTTGGAATTTCAGGATTGGCATCTCCTGTCTTTTTCCTGCCTCTTGGCATTTTAGCATCTCTCCAGCGGGATGTCCTCGGATTCTGAATACCAACATACGCCAAATCATTGTTATTAGCATTCTGGCTGCTGCTGTTTCACTGTTATACTTTTCTGTTGTCATAATCCGAAATAAGTATGGGCGGCTGTCCAGAGACAAGAAGTTTCAAAGGTAAGGGAGTGTTTGTTTTTTAGATGAGATACCTTACCTTCATTTCATGTCTTAAAGGCTTGGGATTTATTCGGAATTAGAGGAACATATAGATTTGTTCGGAGTTTAAGGAGCATATGGCTGTAAGAAATGGAGTCCTCCGAATACAGCATGGCATGAAAAATTAAACTGAAACTTTAATCATTACCACCAAATCTACATCATAAGAGGATTTAAACATAAGCTTCTGTTACACCCTTTAAACTGATTTTTCAGTTAGTGTTGATAGTTTGCGGATACAGTTTTGCTTTTCATTACATTTGAACTTAATTTAAAGGAATAATGAACGTGTATCTGATGTAAATGATCTTTATCATTTGTTTTCTTTTGACTCTCTAATCATTTGGCAGTTGTAAAAATGTTTGAGTGTTGCTGCTATATAGCTTAGAAACTACCGACTTGCTGTTTGTTTATTGTATTTGCTTTGTTAGGTCTAAGGTGTAAGCTGCTGTTACCTGTCTCAGTAAAGTGTATGTTTGTTTTTTTTTAAACCAGGTACTTGGCTCGAGTTACTGACATTGAAGCTACAGACACCAATAACCCCAATGTGAACTATGGTATCATGGTGGACTGTGGTAGCAGTGGGTCTCGAATATTTGTTTATTGCTGGCCAAGGCATAATGGCAATCCTCATGATCTGTTGGATATCAGACAAATGAGGGATAAAAACCGAAAGCCAGTGGTTATGAAAATAAAACCCGGTATGTAAATGATAAATATCTGACTGGTAACCAGGTTGGTCCTTTCATTCTCTGTGATGTCCTTCCCATCTTCCCCTCTCTCTCCCACAGTTATCAGCCCTAAGTCATAGCTCACATTAGGATGCAACTGGGGTCTTGCTTCACTTTCTTTTCCCTTTTCTATCCATCTTGCATGAGGCGACTAACATCTATAAAAAATATGCAAAACCCACATCTTTCTTTCTGTATCCTGCAGCATTTATTGTACTGTTTTACTCTAAGTGTCTACTCAGATACTTGCTCATTGTCATTAACTGTGGAGGGATTTTTTTCCTCTTTGGCAGCTATTAGTCTTTATCCTCAATGGCATGGTAATTTCAGATGACACAGGAAATCTGTACTCTAACCACACGTATGTATTTGTCATGTTAGAAAATTGCTGCCCCAGTGTATTTCTAATCACATAGATTATTTAATAAGGATGACTATAGAACTTAGAAGAGCTACAATCTTTATGTCCAGGTCTTAAAGATACCACAATTTCTGAGTCAGTGTGTTGTAAAAGTTGTGATTTTCCTTCCCCTTTAGCCAATTTAAATCAGTGGTTCTCAGCCTTTTTCTGTATCTACACCATTTCCATGGGCAGCGCCCCTCTGTCAGGAGCATTAGGAATGGATGGTGTCAGGAGTACCTTAGGTGCTTTATGTCTTCATAGTTGATAATCACTGAGTTAAAACAGGGGACCACAGATCTCAATAGAGATTCGGCACTTTTGTTTCATCTTGTTAATGTGTTAGTTAAATGTTCAAACAATCCAAGGAATTTATCTTTCAAAATAGTAGAGAATGTTCATAAAAAATATAATTAATCATAGCTCATTATCCTCTATTTCAAAAATATGCATGAAAAGGAGATTTAATTTTAACATGATAAAATACCTATCCTCATAAACCAGTTCCTGACCACACAGACTGTAGACCCCTGCGTCATACTCATTCTTCACTGAATAATTCAGGCCCCACTTCCTGCTTCAGGCGACCCTCAACAAGTTGGTTGGTTGACGTTTGGACAACTGGCACCAGAATTTTGCTCACAAAATTCAAACTCTCATTTTTGAGGCTAAAGAGAGGGAACATAATCAGAGTCTCTTGTATAAGCATTATTTTGATACTAGAGTACATTTCCATAAATGATCATTTTTTCTATGAGTCTTGGTAAATGACTTAATTTTTAGTTTTCTGTTTTCCCATCCCTTAAATTTTTATGTATTCCTAATTTAGAAACATTTTCAGGGCTGAAGTAGTATTGATTAAATAAAATATTCTCTAGGAGATTAAAAAATAAAAACTCTGTAAAGCACTTTGCATGTCTTCTGGCTTCACATACCAGGTTCCTTAAGTGATTAAACTGCTCTCATGGAGTAAGATAAAATCTTTGATGCTCTAGAGTTGTCCTTTCAGAACAAGTACACAGCTACAACATCAACCCAGGGTGTACATCCCAGAATCTCATTAAAATCAGGCTTAATATGGTTCTCTCTGATGCCCCAGGAAGTGTTTGAAGTGCAAATTCAAGTACTTTTTTATAGCACTACCGTGTTCTGAGGCATGGACTCTCTTGTATAGCATGACAGCAAAGCTCTATAAATTTCTTTACTAGATTCTGAACAGTTTTAGGCTTAGTGTCCATCGAAACAGCATTGTATATGAAGTCTATTTCCGCTAACTGATTTGACAGATCACTTCATCTCTCTGGATCCACAATTTCCTAATCAATAAAGTAAAGAATTTTTAAACTTCTAAGATTTTAAGCCAGGAAGAGTTTAAGACACCGTTTGCATAGGTCGTGGTCAGGGGATTGCTGAGACCGGAGAGTAGTTTGTGTCACAGCAGGCTGGTGGAGTCCAGAGGAGATGAGGAAAAGTGAACTAATGTGAGAGGAACCAAGGAGAGGCAGTCAGTGAGACCCAGAATGCACGTCAGGGCGAGGGGTTTGCTCCGGGGTACTGGCTTATTTGCATATGTTGAGTCTGGGGGCTTTGAGGACGAGCATATGGCCATGTCCAGTGGATAGTCATGCTGATCTGGAGGTCGGGGAAGAGATCTGGGTGGCTGCTGAAAAGATTTGGACATCTGAGAATATAGGTGGTGATGGCAGCTGTGGGGGTGAGTGAGCCTGCCCGAGGAAAGGGGGGGCACATTTCTGAAGGGCAGGGATGAGCTCCTGTGTAGTTGATCCCAAGTGTCTGACACGGAGTAGTTGCTCAGTTATGCCTGTGTTTCTTGATGACTTCAAAGAAGGGTGCAGGACTGAACATTCACCCCCATCATTTAAGGAAGAGAGACTGGAAGAGTTGCCAGAGGGATAGGGAAGAACTAAGGATGGTACGTAGCTTGAAATTCTCTCAAGTTAGCCACGTTGAAGAAGTGTAATTCATTACCTAAACTGTCTGCTTGTTCACAGAAGTGTCCTTTTTCTGTAGGCATTTCAGAATTTGCGGCCTCTCCAGAGAAAGTCAGTGATTACATTTCTCCACTCTTGCACTTTGCTGCAGAGCATGTACCGCGGGCAAAACACAAAGAGACTCCTCTCTACATTCTCTGTACAGCTGGAATGAGAATCCTTCCCGAAAGGTGATCTTCCACAGGAGGGAAAGCAGTCAGGCGGGTGATGGTGGGGGGGGAGGTGGGGGTGAGGAAGGGGGTGAGGGAGAGAGGGGGCGGGAGGGAGGGGTGGAGGTGAGGGTGCTGAGGAAGGTGACAGTGGTTTATTTCCCTCCTCATCCCTCTCCTGTCTCCCTCCTCCTCTTCTGTAACCATCAAAAGGAAGACTTAAAAATTTTTTCTTCAAATCTGGAATAGTACCAAGACTGTCCTTACCGCTAACCCCTTAGCACCTAACCCTTTGCCAGAAGTCGCCAAATAACTTTTGATACATTTCTTTTTGACTATAAGTAGTAACCTGTCAAGTTGTCATTTTAAAAAAAAAAACTGTTTTCTATTTATTCGTTTAAGGATTATTCCAATTATAATTCTACATCTAGGAATCATGTAAATTCATACAACTCCTGAAAATTCTCTTCCTAGAATCTTTTCAATGAATTGTGTTGGTGTTAAAGTTTACTGTTTCACATAGGATATACCAGTGACTAGTGTTTTTCTTTCCTCTCTTTAAAACAAAAATTCAGAATATACTGTTTTGATATGTAAGATTTTGGATTGTCTTACAGCCAGCAGAAAGCCATCTTGGAAGACCTTCTGACTGATATCCCTGTGCACTTTGACTTTCTGTTTTCTGACTCTCATGCAGAAGTAATTTCAGGGAAACAAGAAGGTTGGTATACTGGTCTTCAACTTGAAATTTGGGAAGTTCTTCCTTTAAATCCTCCCTATTTTCCCCCATGTACACTTTATTAAATTACTGCTAATATCTTAAAATTTGGGAAACCATAGACTTGAAATACTACTTTTTTTAATGTCAAAATCAGTTTCTTACGTGGCTGGTCTTTTATTATCCAAACATTAAGCGATTAAAAAATAACTTAGTTTGTCTTCACCATATTTAGGAAACATTTTGGACTCATTTTGATAGAAAAGGTTTGTGTTCCTTGCATAAGTTATACAGCTTTCTGGAATTCTGACAGTTACTAAGCTATTAAAGTGTTCTATTGATTTACTCACTAGGAAGGGGGAATTATTTTTGATTTTGGTACACTGAAAATGGTATTCTGTTTTCGAGGAAATGATTCCACTTGAGAATGAAATGGTAAGTCAATGCAATTATTTGGGGAATAGCTTGCTAGAAATGGAAACCAAAAAGCATTTATTTCAGAATCATCAATCATTTCAGTAAATACCTCCTCTGTGAAAGGCACTGTAGAAAACACAAAATTGGGTGGAATTCAGATACTGCCATTAAGCTGTTTACAGAAAAGTGAAGTCCACAGTTAGTTGCTGTATGAAGTGAAGTTGTAGGTGCCATAGGAAGATAAGCAAAAGTATCATGGGAATTGGAAAGAGGGAGACATTTTATTTTTTTAGCTAGGGTATTGTGTAGAAAGTGACATCCAAGTTGTGTGTTCAAGGGATAGTTAGAAATATAGCCTGCCAGGGCATGGTTAGGGTAGGGCTCTGAGAGGGGGATAGGAAGCACATTCCAGGCAGAAGAAACGATCTGAGTCAGCACAGGTCAGAAAAGCTGCTCTATGGACAGAGGAACAAAAATATTTTAGTGTAACAGATTCTGGCCCTTTCGAAAGGTGGTGGTATTATTCAAAGTTAAGGCTTGGTGACATCAGCGTCACAGCACTGTGAGCCATTTCTGTTCTCTTTGACAACTAATTTGACACCCATAACCAAAACAAAGCCCCTCCGCAGAGTGCCCCAGGACAAGCAAGGTCATCCATCGTGCACCCACACGGGGGTGGACTGGACCTCGCAGGGGGCCTCACAGCCAGGCAGGCAACTGCAAGGGGAGCAGACTAGCATAAGCTTCTGGCAGACATGGAGGGCGAAGCTGGTGAGTGGGGGTCACCTGGGCACACACGCTGCGTCTGCGTCTGAAGGACCCATTGCTCCCTCTGAGGAGAGGTCACCGTGACTAGGAGGAGGGAAAGGAAAGGGGAGAACTCAGACCCGAAGGAGGGTGGTTCTTTCTATCGGCCCTGTGATTCTGGCAAGAGGACCACCCATGGACCTCTGGGAACCCACCCCCACCTCTACCAAAGGCTCCCTGCTAGGCTGTGGGCACACCCAAAGCCCCCCAGCTCTGCCTAAAATAACCCCACCCTTTTTAAAATTACCATCCTGTTGAACTTTAGATTCAAAGTAAACAAAACCTTACCTAATAAGAAAGGTGCTCACTACCTCAAATGCAGTGATACAGGCACTTATCCTCACACACTGGAAAATCATGGTAGTACGGTATCAACAATTTTCTAGCAACTGAACCCAAAGATGCAGAATATTGCAACTTAACTGATAATTCGAAAGAGATGTTACGAAGAAATTTAATGAACTACAAGAAAACTCAGGCAATACAGTGATCTCAGGAATAAAATTAATGAACAGGAGCACTTTACCAGAGAGGCTGAAAAAGCACCAAGCAGCTTCTGGGACTGAGTGACTCAATACCTGAGATGAGGAATGCACCGGGAAGCGCTGGAAGTGGAGCAGATCAGATGGAATCTCTCTCATATAAGCGAGCCAGAGGACAGGAATATACAGATGTTTCAGGTGGAAGAGGAGAGAGAATTAAGGTTTTTTAAAAGTAAAGAAACCCTATAAGTACTATCATACTCCCTTAGGAGAGCCAACACAGTATCAATGGTATACCAGAAGGAGAAGAGAGAGAAAGGAACAGAGAGCATTTTCAAAGAAATAAAAGCTGGGAACTTCTCAAACCTGGGAAAGGAACTGGATATACTAGTCTCTGAAGCTAATTAACACCTTTTTATGTCAATGCAAACAACCTCCAAGACATTATATTAAAATGGTTAAAGGTCCGTGATGAAGAATTTTAAAGACAGGAGGGAAAAAAGTAACCTACAAAGGAATCCCCATTAGGCTATCAGTAGATTTATCATCAGAAACCCTACAGCCCTGGCAAGAGTGGAGTGACATGCAAACTACTGATAGATAAAAATTGCCAATCAAGACTACTCTGTATATCAAAACTGCCCTTCAGATTTGGAGGAGAAAAAAAAGACAAAGCTAAGGGAGTTTACCACCACTAGGTTTACAATTTTCAAGAAATGTCAAAAGGAGCTATTCAAGCTGAAAACTCTTGATTAAAGTGATAAGTAGAATTAGTAAACTAACTCTTTAAAATAGTATATTAAACAATCATAGCATAAAGACTAAAGGAAAAGAGCATTAAAAATAACTAGCTACTACGACTTGGTAACAAAATCGTAGCAAAAAAGAGAATTTGTGACATCAAAAATATAAAAGGGGAAGAGTAAAAGGGTGGAACCTTTATAGGTGAATGAAGATAAATTACTCTCAGCAGAAAAAGCTCTCTTTTATCTATGAGATGTTTTATGTAAACTTCATGGTGACTAGAAAGCAAAAATTCTATAAAAGACACAAAACATAAAAGGAGAGACTGAGCAAATCACCATGGAAAGCCATGAACTCACAAAGATAAACAGAAACAGAAAAAGAAACAATGGAGAGACAATCAGAAGGCAAAAGATAAAATGACAGTAAATTTTTACGATCAGTAATCACTAAATGTAAATGGATTGGACTCACCAATGAAAAGGCAAGAGTGACTGGATGGATTAAATAAAAATAAGACCCAACTATATGTTGCCTACAGGAGACTCATGTTGGCTTTAGACACAGAGGCCCCAAGTCAGAGGATGGAAAACAATATCCCTGCAAACAGAAAGCAAAAGAAGGTGGGCATAACCACACTTAAATCAGAAAAACAAAGACGAAAGGGTAACGAGACAAAGAAGTTCGTTATATAATAAGAGGGGTAATTATATCGAGAAAGCATAATCATAAATATATACACTCCCAACACCCAAGCACCAAAATATAGTAAGCAAATACTAACAGATCTTAAGGGAGAAGTGAGTGACAAAATAATCGTAGGGGACTTCAACACCCCCACTATCAGCAATGGATAGAGCATCTAGACAGAAAATCAACAAGGAAACATTAGAACAAATGGACTTAGCAGACATTTCATCCAACAGCAGAAAAATGCAGCCTTCTCAAGTGCACATGGAAAATTCTCCAAGACAGACTGTATGATAGGACATAAATCTTAGAAAATTGAAGAAGATTGAAATCATACCAAATGTCTTTTTCTGACCACAATGGTATGAAACTAGAAATGAACAACAAAAAGAAAGTGAGAAAATCTACAAATATGTGAGAACTAAATGACGCACTTCTAAATGACAAATGGCTCAAAGAAGAAATCAAAAGGGAAATAGAACATTATCTTGAAAGAAATGAAAATGAAAGTACATCATCAAATATTGTGGGATGCAGCAAAAGCAATTCTGAGAGGAAGGTTTATAGCAATATAAAGAAATTAGAAAGATCAACTTAAGTTTATACCTCAAGGAACTAAGAAAAGAAGAACAAATTAAGCCCAAAGTTAGCACAAGGAAGGAAAAAAATGTCAAAGCAGAAATAAATGGAATAATGACCAGAAAAANTATATACTAAAAAATTGCATAACCTAGAAGAAATGGACAAATTTCTAGAAACACAACCTACCAAAACAATCAGAAAGAAATAGAAAATCTGAACACATCAATAACAAGATATTGAATCAGTAATCAAAAAACTCCCAACACAGAAAACTTGGGGACCAGATGACTTCACTGGAGATTTCTACCAAACAGTTGAAGAATTTAACACCAGTCCTCCTCAAACTTTAAAAATGCTTGAGGAGGGGGGAACACTTCCAAACTCATCCTACAAAGCCAGCACTACTTTGATACCAAAACCAGATAAGAATACCACAAAGAAAGAAAACTGTGGACCAGTATCCCTTATGAAGATAGATGCACAAATTCTCAACAAAATATTAGTAAATTGAGTTCAAGAATACATTAAAAGGATTATACACTATGACCGTGTAGAGTTTATCCCTGGAACACAAGGATGGTTCAGCATACACAAGTCAATAAATTCAACACAGTCTATAAAGAATATAGACAATATATTGTACTATAGTTATATAACATAAGAATCACTATAAGAGCAATCATAATAAAATATGTAAATATGTCAAAATGACATGCTATATACATTTTAAATTTGCACTATGTTACATGTCAGATTTATCCAATAAAAAAAGAAAGTTGGACAGGTTTTAAATTATGCTGTGGGGTTTGGCCTTCATTCTATATAGATTCTATATAGATCTATATAGGCCTTCAATCTATATAGATTCTATATAGATCTATACTGATCTATATAGAATGCAGATAATAGAGCGGGTTGGAGTGAACAGTAGGGGCAGAAAGATTGACTAGGCCTCTGTTACAGCTTAAATCAAGGTCATAATGAAAATGGGTAAAGATTAGATATAGAAAATGTAGTAAAAAAAGAACCAGACTTGCCAGCTGGGTGAAAGTGATAAAGGAAATGGGAGAGTCAGAGTATCTCATTTTTATAACCTTGCAAATTGATATAACTTTGAAAAAGGTAAAAACTCCAGTATATCAAAACAATCTATAAATTTTACAGGAAAACAGACACTTGAAGGATTATGTTTTCAACCTGTATAAATCCTATGAAACTATAAATTTTAAAGTTGAGAGTTCTTGGAAAACCCATGGGAAAGGAAAGTACATCAGTAGAAATGCATTATTTCAGATGATTTCATGTCTGGGAATAAATGAAATGTTTGCATGGACTGCATTGATAAGAATCATACAAAATATTCTAACTTTATTCTTCTTCACTCTGTGAAATGTCTGTAGGTGTATATGCTTGGATTGGCATTAATTTTGTCCTTGGCCGCTTTGAGCATATTGAAGATGGTAAGTATCATGTTTCCAACTGATGTGGCTAACTGGAAATTGATGGCTTTTTCTATTTAATCCAAAGGATAAAAAAGGAGCTAAGTTTTGTGAGACAGCAAAACGCGTAGGACTAGAGTGAGAGGGTCTGCACTCTCACACTATTACCTTGATCTTAGTAGGGAGGAGTGGGCTGGGTTTGCCTAGATGTGCTTGAAATATACTATGAAAACAAGACGGCTTTTCAGAGGAGCCCAGTCCTTTGGAGCTGTTCCCATGGATGTTTCTTGTTCTTCCCAGATGATGAGGCAGTTGTGGAAGTTAACGTCCCCGGTAGTGAAAGCAGTGAAGCCATTCTCCGTAAAAGAACAGCTGGTATTCTCGACATGGGAGGCGTGTCGACTCAGATAGCATACGAAGTCCCCAAAACTGTAAGCTTTGCCTCCTCACAGCAGGTTATTATCTGTACAGATTTCTTTCTGTTTGATTTGGTTTTCATTTAACATGTGTCCATCCATTTTTGTTTTCTTTCTGAGTCTGAACACATCTTTACTTGCTGAGGTGCCACCTTCTGAACCCAGGAGAAAGGAGACAGGAGGAACCAAGGCAAACCTCCGCTAAGCCATTTGTTTGTTCATTGAAGTCGGCTGGTTTGTTTTCTGAACTCAGAGTTTTTCTTTGGACTGTGTGTCAGTCACATGCTTGAGTTTTTGTGTTTTCTCTTCAATCACTTCTTTTCTCACTAGGCATTATACACCTTAATATACGAGCATCAGATTTCTTAAGTTGTAATTGGGGGGAAAACTGGGAAACAAAGGCTTTCTTTTTATCACTCAGACAGCTTTTGACTTTTCTGGAAAGAACTGAGGTTTGCATCCATTGTGTCCCCATTTCTGAACTTGTGGTTTAGTCTGTCTTTTCTCTGTCCCCTTCAGGGCTCCCACGTATTGCTTGTAGTTTCCAAGTAGGCTGGGCAGCTTTGTAGAAGGAGCAGAGCGCCAGAGGGTGTCACATGTTTTCCTGAGTTGCTACATGTGTTTATTACTATTTCCATTGAGCTGTAAATTAATACCAAAGCCTGGTTTCCTACCCATGTCCCTAGCATAGCATAGAGGTTAGACTGGAGCCACACCAGTCTAGACTGCATCGTCATCCTGTCCTCACTGGTTATGTGACCTTGTGCAAGTCACTTAACTTCTTTGAGCCGGGTTCTTCATCTCTAAATGTGAATGCAAGTACCTCTAATACAGGGCTAGTATAAGGTTTAAATGAGATGGTGCATATATCTAATGCACTGCTAGGCATCTTAGTGTCTTCACCTAATTAATGTTACTGATGTATTTATTAAGTTCCTTGGAAGATGCTTTGGAAATTCAAGTATTGCAGTTTGTATTTCCTACTTCCCATCCAGTCATGCCTGTAGAAGCTGTTATACTCTGTAAAAAGTCATATCTTTTCCTCAGGATAAAGTATAAAAAATACATGTATAGCAAGTTTGGGGGGAACAAACTAAAAAAGTAGGATTAAAATTTTCCTGTGGATGCATCACCCAAAAAAATCATTGTCAGCATTTTGGTATAATTATTTTCATTCTTTCTGTTTCCTATATATAGTTTTTAAACATGGTGATTGTAATCTTACTGTTTATATGATTTTCTGTCCTTTATTTAACAGCACACAGGCATGGTCCTCTGTAAACTATTGATCACCATTAAGTAACTAACCCCTCCTTAGAACTATATATTTAGATGACATCCAGTTTTCTCTTTCACAGAATTGCAAAGGATATCTTTGTGCATAGGGAATTCTCCATCTTTAGGGTTATTTCCAAGGCATAGAATTCTGTAAATAGACTTACTAGATCAGAGGATATGAACTAGATTGCTGACTTCCTTCTCCAAAAAGTCACAGCAATATCGCAAATGTGCAGTGCATCTGACATTTCTTAAGTCAGATTGTCCCATTGAATTAGGAGGGACACTTCGAAGGATCCTTGGAAAATGCAGAAGCAGAAATTTTTGCTCCTTTTAGATGAGAATCTTTTAGATTCTTCTTTTTAACAGGAGATAATAGTTTTTGTACTGCTTAAATTATTAAAGTTTGTTATCCTCATGTCTGCAGGAAGAAGTAGCTAAGAACTTGTTAGCTGAATTTAACCTGGGATGTGATGCTCACCAAACTGAGCATGTGTACCGAGTCTACGTGGCCACGTTTCTTGGGTTTGGTGGCAATGCTGCTCGACAGAGATACGAAGACAGAATATTAGCCAGCACAGTTCAGAAGAACAGGTACAGTGCGCCCCACTGCTCGGCAGTCACTTCCAAATGCGGGTCTCTCCTCACAGGAGGCACACCCAGGCAGAGCAGGGGGAATGCCTCTGCAGGAGCATGTCAGCACTGTCAGCTCTTCATTCCCCTGCCAGCTGGGCTGGGAGGAGAAATGACAGGACACCAGGGTCCTGCCTGTGGTCCCACCTCCCCCGGGCTCCCTGGGAGGGTCTCTCTCAGACCCACAACTCCCCAGGTAGATTGGAAAGCTCACTGTGAGTACTTCAGTAGTTCTGAGCCCTGGTGGTGCTGTTCCCAGGTGCAGTCCTTGGGAGACTCAGCTGCTGGGCCATGCAGGTGTTCTGGAGGCCTGCAGAAAATGATGGTAAGATTGGATGATGTGATCTTCTGGAAAAGCAGCTGTGCAGCTGTTTGGTGGTTAAGACCATAGTGAAGGAGGTTCCTCAAGAGAAAGGAATGAGATAGAAGTCAAATGAGTGGTTTTAAACATTTTTAGCAGTAAGTTTTAAAAAGGAGTTTATGAAGAATTCTGGTATGGAATATGTGTAAAACAAAAGGAACACTTCAGTCTCTATTTTTTATAAGTTTAATTTTATAGCAATTATTGGAAATTAGTCTGTAAGAACAGAAAAGCTGTTTGAGTGAATAAAAAATCTGAAACTGGGGTTATGTAAAATATCCTGTTAATTACTATGTTTTGTCTGTTTTGATGAACAATTTTGAGGGGAGAAATCCTAATTGATAGAAATAAATGGTAGTGATCAGTTCTTGATCAGTTTAATCTTAATAAACCCGTGGAAGCCTGAAGTTGAGGAAAGTCTAAGTGAGAGCTATTGAGTACCATGTTTCCCAGAAATTCACATAGGTAAGTAGGAAAAGCAATAAAAACTTGTTTGTTGCTCTAGACATTAAATGATTAGTGTTAATTAAGAGCTTGGTAGTCCCATGGATTTTCTTTTTTAAAAGTGGCATATTATATAGCACATTTGATATAATAATTTTTATAATCATAAAATAGAAATATTTCATAAGTAACATTTGAATCAGAATTGTAGAAAAACACCCTCTGCAACCCTAATTGGTTTTAATATTAAGAAGCATGTATAGTGGACCATTCAGGGTTCTCCTTAGTAAGTAGGAAAAGCAATAAAAACTTGTTTGTTGCTCTAGACATTAAATGATTAGTGTTAATTAAGAGCTTGGTAGTCCCATGGATTTTCTTTTTTTAAAAGTGGCATATTATATAGCACATTTGATATAATAATTTTTATAATCATAAAATAGAAATATTTCATAAGTAACATTTGAATCAGAATTGTAGAAAAACACCCTCTGCAACCCTAATTGGTTTTAATATTAAGAAGCATGTATAGTGGACCATTCAGGGTTCTCCTTAAACTAGATAGAGAACTAAAAACAGTAGAATGAAGTACAAATTGACTGGTCTTGGACTCTTAATACAGTTATAAAGATTAATCACTTTTTATATATGTCATGAATTGAACCTTTAAATGCATATTTATCTCTTATTAATGATTGAATTTTTAATTAATGGGCAGACCTCAGTTTATCACTCTTGAGTGCATTTTGAGCTGCCCTGATCTGAGGAATAAACAGCTGGTCAGTTGAGTGGCAAGCGAAGGCTTGACTCAGGATCAGTGCCTGAAGCTGATCCAGGCTGTCCCAGTGCTGCGGCACCTTCTAGACCCACAGGATTGCACAGCATCACACGAGTAGGTCTGAGCGCTTTCTTGTCTCAGTTGCTTAGCAGAGAGTACACATAGTAGGACAACAGATCCTAATGCCTGGAGATTCCCCTGGGAAGCAGTTAAGTGTGTGCGTTTCCATGAACAAAGCTAAGATTTCTTTCTACAGTACCTCTCAGAGCCTGTAAATAAGAACTCTGGTACCTGCAGCAGTTGGGATCAATAGCTAATTAATATTTAAAAGTCAGTTAAAACAGAGACTCATAAAGACAGAATGGAGCCTCAAGCATTTGCTTTAACTTACGTGTTCAGTGGCCCATGTTTTGCTCTGGACCAAGATCACTTCTTGGGCTACACTTGTCATTTCCCCACTGTGCACAGCACCCACTCATCTTGATGTCACTTGGGGTTTCTTTAGAGAATACCAGGGACTTAAAGATATTGTGAAGTAATGTGTGTACCAAATCCTTCTAAATTTTCACTAAATTTTTTTCGTCTTGCTAACTCCTAAGTTGACAACAGTTTTCTAGCAACTTGCCTTTATCATATTTTTGTAAGGCATCTAACCTGGTTTTCACAGAACTAGTCACTTCCTCTCACAGTCAGTTTTATCTGCATAATTAAAACCACAGTACTGGTGGCAGAATGGGGTCGGCAGCCACAGGTTGGTGGTCGCTGGGCTGCAGTCCGCTGAGAGGAGCTCACTGACAGGAGTGCTCCCGGGTGTGCAGGGCGTCCTGCAGTTGGCAGTGGTGGTCACTGGACTCTGGCAAGGTGTCTGCTGTACACAGTGTGAATCATGAATCTCCAGGAGGGGCTCCAGTAGGTGTTCTCCTGACTTAATTATGCCAGAACCCTTCTGTGTTCCCACAAGACACCCTTCAGGTCTCGTGTCCCACAGAGCATACTTTGAGAAGCACTGCCTTACAGCCACTTTCCTGTTGGTCTCATGATGAAGTTTCTCTTTGTCCTATAGGCTCCTGGGGAAACAGACTGGTCTGACTCCCGAGACTCCGTACCTGGACCCCTGCTTACCCCTAGACATTAAGGATGAGATCCAGCAAAACGGACAGACCATGTTCCTGCGGGGAACGGGAGACTTTGACCTGTGTCGAAAGACTCTCCAGCCTGTCATGAATAAGACAAACGAGACTCAGACTTCCCTCAACGGCGTCTACCAGCCCCCAATTCACTTCCAAAACAGTGAATTCTACGGCTTCTCTGAATTTTACTATTGCACTGAGGATGTGTTACGGATGGGAGGGGACTACAATGCCGCTGCGTTTACTAAAGCTGCGAAGGTAGCACCCAAGGACCATCTTCTCCTGCATGCTTCTGAGAGGCCGGTGGGGATCGGGTCAGGTTTGGAGGCCCAGGTCAAGAGAAGGGAAAGGTGGAGGGTGGAAGGGGGAGTGTAGCATATTAGGAATCCTGTTCCCTTGGTTGGGCAGGAGCAGTAGTCAGAGCCGAACTGAGAAATGCACTGTGGGCCTACTCTGCCCACCACTCCGTGAACTCCCCTGGTTAGTGGCTTTGAGAGGACAGTCTTGTGTGTTACCAAGTAATCATGGAATGAGTATTGGACAGCACTCTCCCAGCCTCTCTCTCCCCTGGCTGCCAGGACTCCTGTCCTCCCCTACCTTTCTGACCACTTCTCAGGCTGTGTCAGGGGTCTCCCCCGTCACGCCCCTAAACCTTGGTGACCCTGGACTTTCACCCTTGGCCCTCTGATCTCCAGGTTCTTGGATGGTCTCAGCCACGCTCACAGCTTGCTGCTGCCTCTCAAGAAGAGGCTTCAGTCCTGCCCCTGCCAAGTACCTGATAGATTTCACTGTTCCACACAAACCCACTGTTCCCTCCCTGTTCTGGTCCTGTTACCTGGTCTCAGTTAATGGCATCACTAACCATCAAGCCCCTCACTGGAACCCAGGAGTCACAGACTTCTCCCTGGCCCTCCTTCACCCCTCACTGCACACCCCGTACAATCAATTCTTAGGCATGTTATTTTGTAAATATTTCTCAAGCTGCCTCTGTTTTTTGTCCAGCTCGCGCTGTCCTAGTCCAGGCCTATCTGTCACCTGCGCTAGGGCAGGAGCCCCAAGCTGCCTCCGTGCATCTGGCCCACCCCAGCCTTCACCCCACGCACTGCCCAAAACACGGGTGTACTCAGCCTCCTATTTACAGTAGGAAGGTACTCAGTGTGCACTAACTAAAATACCTCTTCACTCTTCCAAAAGTCTTTGCCTGTCACATGGATCATGGAGGGAGAAACAAAGCAGTTTTGAAGAGGTTGATTGTTGCTCACTGAGGGTGTGTTTTGCCTTCATGTATGTCTTCATAAATAAGCTTGTGTTTCCTAATTGGAAGGATTTTTTAAATTAATATGAGTTTGGTAAGCCTTTTTAAAAATGAAAAGTATTTTTAATAAACCTTTGCTAATGATTTATTTGGGGTGAAATTTCAGGATTATTGTGCAACAAAGTGGTCGATCTTGCGGGAACGCTTTGACCGAGGACTGTATGCCTCTCACGCGGACCTCCACAGGCTAAAGTAAGCAGCAGGGCACCAAGCCCAAGGCATTGTGAAGAAACTGTGCATATGCATGGACCCCCTGGCTTCCACACCCTGGTCCCGACCTACCTTTTTATCCTTGCAAATCACTCTTTCTCCTCATCCACCTGAGCTCTTTTCAAATGAGATGACAAACACTGGTGCCCAAGCATATCTTAAAGTATCTTGCTCAGGTTTGCTGTTGCTTCCACCTGGAATTCTGTTCACCCCCCGGCTTGTGAAATTCCTGCTGTGGTGTAAGCGTCAGGCAGATGCCGTCCCTTGGCCCTTCCTCTGCGCGCTCCGCCGAACTCCGTTCCTCTGAGTCTCCAGAGCACCAGTACTTCTGTCTAGTGGCGGTTATCATGTTCTGCTTTGCTGTATAGTTACTGTTTGCTTTTTAAAAATCCTTTTATTATAAGTCATTTAAGTACATTAACTATCTTATTATTATATCTTTTTACTTGCTTAGAAGAGTGCTTTGCAAAATAGTAAGCCTCTGATAAAAATTTAGAATCATAGAACATCAGAGCTGAAAAGGACCCTTCTACCTTCTCATTTTATCATAATGAAACTAAGGTCCAGAAAATTTGGAACTTGTTCAGTATTTATTTAACAAATAAATAATGGAATGCCCTAAGAAAAAAAAAATCTGTCATGGCAATGTATTAAATCATATCAAGACCAAGTTTCATTAGCTGCTTTTGGCAGGTACACTGGTTTGTGTCATGGGACCAGGGGCAAAGAAAGGAAGCGAATCGCCTGGAAATGCAGGTGGCGCAGCTGCTCAGAGCACTGGCCGATGGGCCCACACGGGTTGCAGAAGGGAAAGCTGCCTCCGCGCGGTTCACCGGGACAAGCAGATCAGCCCCACTGCGTGTGTGCTCTCTGTCTGTAGGTATCAGTGCTTCAAGTCGGCCTGGATGTTTGAGGTGTTTCACAGGGGCTTTTCGTTTCCTGTCAATTACAAAAACTTAAAGACAGCCTTGCAAGTCTATGACAAAGAAGTTCAGTGGACCCTCGGAGCAATCCTTTACAGGACCCGCTTTTTACCTTTAAGGTATGGCTGTGAATTTGATAATGAGAATCAAACAAAAGGTGCGCCTCTGCATCTGTCATGCATCATGGCACCTGCGGTTTGTGATCGTCTGGGGCTCTGTCATGAGCGCTGGCTGTCACAGAATTGCAGAGTCCGTGAGGTTTGGCTCTGTGCCCCCTGCCCATCCTCCCTATCCCATCATGTGCCACACAGACGTGTTTGATTATCAGACTCTCAGCTGTCTACGCCCTGACCCCTACACAGAAGGTCTAGTTCCAGGATTCTTAACCTTTATGGCCTTGGACGCCTTCTCAAAATACTGCTTTTAATGCATAATATGAATACATAGGTTACAGAGGAAACCATTGTATTGAAATGTGTTTATCAAAATATGACAGAAAACAAACGTGATACAGTAATACATGTTCTTTATTAACACATTAATAAGATGTGGCAGCAGAAGTAGCATTTTCTGTGATTTCAGTGTAGCTGTCAATGATGTGTTGAGAAACAGCTGCAGAACACAGCGATGTGATTGAAAAGGTCTGAGTTTCACCGCAAAGTCACAAGTCCTGCTGATACTCTCGTAGTGGCTGCATTCATGTTCAACAGAAATACTGCCTCACAGCCAGAGATTGGTAAAATAAAGATGTACATTTTCCCCATTCATGCTCACATGGGGGCTCTGGTTGTCAGTTGGCCCCCATGTAAGAACCCTGGTCCACAGTTAAATGGGGTATTAGCTTTTGGGGTTTTTTCCCTTTGATTTCACTGAGCATCTCCCAGCAATATGTTTAGCTGCATTAACTGCCAATATTGTGATAGTGGCTATAACTGATCACAAACACGTGGTTTGCTTCCACATAGGCTTCCGTGTACTAATGAAATGCTCACAGTTCTGAATTTCTCTGATTTTTGTTACCCAAATTATGATGATGGTAACTGCCATAGGCTTAGGAATACACCTTCACGTGCCCCTCTTAAGACCGACGACAACCCCATTAGGCCACAGTGTGCTCCATTTGAGAGGTGAGGGAACGAGTCGTGGAGTCTGCAGCGCTGAGCCCTGACCTCGGTCCCCCCACACACACCCCGCACACTGCCTCACCAGCGCCCCGGCCTTCCCTGGGGCCTCTTACCTGTCCTCTGTGTGTGCTTTGTTTCCTTGTGCGCAGAGATATCCAGCAGGAGACCTTCCGCGCCAGCCACGCCCACTGGAGGGGCTTCTCCTTTGTGTACAACCACTACCTGTTCTCCGGCTGCTTCCTGGTGGTCCTGCTCGCCATCCTGCTCTACCTGCTGCGGCTGCGGCGCATTCACAGGCGGACGCCCCGCAGCGGCTCCGCCGCCCCCCTCTGGCTGGAGGAAGGCCTCCCGGCCCAGAAGATTGCTGGTACCTTATGAGCGGAGTTGGGAGCTGGGGAAGACTTTCTGCAGATACCTTATGAGCGGAGTTGGGGGCTGGGGAAGACTTTCTACAGGAAAAGCCATTTTTGCCTCAGGGTTTCTCCTCTTTATTCGCATTCAGCTTTGTTTTTCCTTTTCCTTTTTGTTCTTGAAAGAAAAACAGAATCCATTGTTTGTCAGATCTGCTGTCCTAGAAGTACTGCATTTAGCAGTTTTGAATACAGCTTTAAATTGAGGACTAGGGAAAAGGGAAAATTGCTTCGTTTTTGCTGCATAGGATATCTGCCAAAAATTTCTAAGAATGTTGGGGTTTTTTTGTTAAATTTAAAAGCACTTTGGTATTGGAGGGAAGTGGCAAAGGTGTTTTCTATCCATGGAGATAGGATTGGAGAGTGGTACTTTCACAGAACCGAACGCTTCCTGGTTGGAATTACATCCCTCTTTTTTCTGTATCTGAAAGCTCTAGACTAACGAGGGTGATGTTTAGTTTTTGTTATAGTTCAGGTCTGTCGCTATATGTTTCCTTTGCAGTTTTAAAAAATCAGAACTGTTTATATCCAAAATAGAGAACCACAGACACCAGGAAATAACTGTTTTTTAAAACTGATAGTAAAGAGACCTGGAAAATGTGAAATAATGTCTAGAGGGCTGTGTGTCTGTGTGTGTGTGTGTGTGTGTGAGAAAAATGCTAGTGAAAGAGCGTGAGGGAGTGCAGTGGTCTTTTAAAAACACACACTTCAAAATTTACTGTTTCATTTCATTGTATTTAGAAAAATCCCCATTACTGTTATCTTTGCCCAACCACAGGTAATTAATTACCTTCCTCATCCCTTCTTTCAGTGGCCTGAGAACAGTATTGGAAAATTCAGGAAGTTTGAACTGGTTTTGATGTTGCAAGAACTAGCTGATATCTACCCAGACACTTCAGTGTGTCTTAGGAGCACATTTTTCTTGTTTAATTATGCTCCAGTTTTTTCCAACTTCAGGTTGGTATTCCACCCAATTAAAAATTATCTCGGTTTTATTTCAGAAACCCCATACTTAGGTCTCCTTTCCACTGTTATATTTGAGGCTGTGTTGTCAATGCCACTGTAAATCCAGATTAAGAGAAGGGTCTGAATTTAAGTAAGAAATAAACTCCCATCTTGATGAAAGCAGGTGTAACATTTTAAACAAGAACCTAAAAGGGAAACCAGATTGGCATTTGTGAGATTGATTGTTTTTTCCCTATTCATTTAGTTTAGAAGCCTTGGGAATTCCCATACGTCATTTCTGTAGGTGAAGCTCTTCTCCTGAGTGTGTGTGTACTGCTTTCAGGTGGTTAAAGGTAAACTTAATTCCACAACAGGTGAATTTGTGTAGTTGGTAGCAGACATATATTCTGAGAACCATTGGCTGCTTTTTCAAAGTCATGGATTAGAGAAAGAATTCAGATTTTGAAGCCCTTATTTAACTTAGAAAGAAAGGCAGATTTTTATCTAGTTTATTAATTACATAAAAACATGGTATACTGTATGGTGATGACTTGAAAGATTACAAAATTATTAAAGAATTCTCTTAATTCTGCTTCTCAGAGTAAATATTCCAACAATGAAAAGATTATTGGTAGAATTTTGCCTCTCACATATCCAGAATATTGGAGGACCAGCCCCTGTTACAGCTTCTAATGTGTAGAGCCCTGTTTCAGGGAGGATTTAGGCAAATGTCCCCATGAAAGACACAGCTTTGGAAGTGTGGGTCCTTAGCTATTTAAACGTTGGTCCCTAGTAAAAACTGCTCCTTTTTAAGACCCAGGCACAAATGAGCATGTCATAGACCCCCCAGGGCAGAGTGAGCGGTGTGCTTGCTGAGTTCTGAGATGGGGTTGCCCAGTAGGCTGGATGGCGTCAGTGTTGAAGAGAAAGTAAGTTTGCACTTCAGTCTTTCTACCTCCAGCTGTTTGGAGTAGTCAGGCCCCAACATGATCTGAAAATGTTCACATGCCTAGAGTACGTGATTTTGCCTTTAAAGTCAAGACAAGGATAAGCCAGCATAGACACAGATTTAAAATAGGCCTTAATTAAGACTTCCTACCATAAACACCCACTTTTCAAATAAAGGATGCCTATTTGGTCCAGGTTTGTACCGTTCAAAGAGCAGAATGGAGACAGAGGAGTTCTGTTTACGGCTAAGGATTCTCTGCAAGGACCTTCCTTACTCTCAGAAAAAAACCAAATTAGGGTTCCAAGGCCCCAACAACCTTATACTTTGTAGAGTTAAGCACCCATGCTCTCCTGACAAAGAATTCCCTAGAGCTGGGCTTGGCAAACTATTGTCCACAGGGAAAATCTAGAAGACCCTTGAGAATGGTTTTTCAATTTTTAAGTGTTGTTAAGGGAACAAAGTGAAGAATGTGCTGCAGAGACAATACAGGGCTGATAGTGCCTAAAAGATATGCTAAGTGCCCCTTTACTGAAGATGTTTGCTGACCCCTGGGTGAGCAGGCCCACTCTGGAAAGGACATATGGTAGCATCTCCTTACCTCAGGAAGGCAGTTACCATTCATGGGCACAAAACGATGGGCAAGAGCCATGCCCCCACTTCAGCCTCAGAATACTTGTTTTATGAACCACAAGTTCACTTTATTATCTTCTCCTCTTATTTTCAAGATCAATTTTTTAATAAATCAGAAGACATTTCCCCAGACCCCCGCCAATTTAAAGTATTAGGAGGGCTCCCTACTGTGTTGAGACAACTGGTCCAGAGGAGGCCTCCCAGGCGACCTCGGCGCCCCACCGCAGGGGTGGAGCCGGTGCCTCTCCAGGCCTGCGGGGCCCCCAGGTGAGAGGCGAGCGGGAAGGAGCTTCAGTCAGGAGAGGAGGAACTAGTAGCTGTTGAGGGCTGACCAGGAGGGCAGTCGACTCCGAATACTCTACCAGAAAGCAAAGGAAATTGGACTGGTGGGGACTTGTTAGAATCCTGTCGGGGAAACCATTTTCTGTTAAATCCTGGTGGGAGCACGCCCACCGTCCCTGCTTTTGGTCATCGCCAGACATGTGCTTCTCCTTCTTCATGCTCCAGAGGACGTTCTCAAAGATACGCTCCATGCAAGGACCTCACAGGACAAGTGCAAGCATACTGATACGTACCAGTGGTTTTTGCACATTTTCACCCTAAACTGCAGCCTCAGGCAGCATTCCCTAACCTTGGGTTAATTGAAGGGGCTGTTTGTGTCGGCCTGGCCACCTGAAGGCTTGTTCCCCACCCATGGTCCACACCTGTGCACGCTGGTTGGCAAGCTCCAAATTAGCAGATAATTCGGTTTTAAACTCAGGCCTAGATAGAATAGTTTCCCTTAAAAGAAGCATGAATCATTTAACCAGAAGGTCAAAAAAGCAAATATGTTTTCCAAGCTTTTAAGGAAAATCAGCTTTAAAATTTTGTGTGGTAATGTGCAATGCAGCAAAACTTCCTATAGTAAATTATTTAGTTATTTATTTCTATTGCAGTGTTTTGGGTGTTTTTCCCATTGATTTGCCCTTTCAGTAATGAATGATGTGACCAACCAAGGAGAATCTCTGTCCTGTTACTATTTCACAGTTAGGAATTACAAACATAAAGGGAGCTCTTAAATGTTTTTTATTTAAATGATGTTTTCCATGCATCGTGAGAATAACTATCTTTAGGGCATTGTTGTGGTGTCATCTCACTTTCTGTATTTGGCAACCTCATGTTGCCACACTTGCACCCAAGTGGGTGTTTGGAATCAATAAAAGTTCATTTGGTGGCCCATAGACTCTGTGAGCTTACTTTCTTGTGATTGAAGCAGATTTTTCTCTGATGTTTGAATCTTGTCCTTAGTTCAACTTGAATCTAAATTCAGTAAAATAAATTGTCTGTGTCCAACTACACACTCTGCATTTGCTCTCTTTGCTGTGCATATAGTGAAGCACTACTGCGTGCTGTGTCGGGGGAGAGGTCTGTGAATCTGACAGCACAAAAACCAGGTATTGCCCAAGGAGGAATACTTACCAAGGTGTAATGTCAAGCCATTCCGAGACAACTACTTACAAGGTCATCACTTTAAAGTACCTAGTAACTATAAATGTAGACAAGAAAAAGAAATGAAAACTAGCTTTTATTTCCTCTTAAAAATAGTAAAATCAAATGCTGACTTTATATTACACTATTTTGTAATTAGATAGCTAAGCTTAAAGCTGTTGGCTTATTTCCAGAATAGTATGAATACCACTGTTAACGTTACTAACATTGCTAATAACTATTAGAAGCTACACCTCTTTTTCATTTGAGAACATATAAATAGAGGTTTTCCTGGAGGAGGAAGGAGGGCCTGAGCCAAAACCTGCAAATAGATATAAAGACAGATGGAAGGGGGGCCAGCTGATAGGAACAGAAATAAACAGAAACTGTATGAAAAGAGGTGATTTGGAGAAAGGCAGAACAAAATGGGGCTGAGCACAGACAGCAGGGTGGGCATGGAGGTGCCAGGCTCAGGCCACCAGCAGGAAGGGCTGGATAGTAATAATAACTTACTTAGATGATTTTTGAGACAGTGCAATAAATAGAGGCCTTTGTGCCTGAGGGTAAATACACTAAGGCATCTAAAGATGTCTAATTTTGATGGAAGAGAAGTGCCTATTTCCATGTTAACACATCTGAAAGGCATGGTTCTGGGTTTTTGTTTGTTTTTTCATTGCTTTCCACTTGTCCCATGAATGCGGAATGCACAAGCAGATCTTTTCTGAGATCCTTAAATGCTAATGGTTTGTAGGTTTGTGGTCCTTACACTGGTCTAAGAGCTGAGATGTGAACATCTCTGTCAGAGTCAGACTGGCTTCTGGAAGGGTCATCAGAAGACAAAGGGGAGCCCTTTAATCCCTCGGCCAGCCGGGTAAGTTGCCTGGAGCAGCAGTGTCAGGGTGGAACCCGATCCCTTGAAGGGTCCCCCCCAGCGCACCTTGTCTGAGAGCCTGATTGCCTCAGCCTGTGAACCAGCCTCCTCGTAACCAAAGCAGAGTAGCACTGTCGAGGCATTTTCATTTGTTTTTAACCAGGTCAGTGTGCCCCTCCAGGGCAGTGTCACCTCCTATCACTGTGTCCATTAGGCCGACCAAGACCTGCCGGGGAGCCGGGGGTGGCCTGCCGTCTCTGCCCTTCACCCTTGATCCTGTTTGGCAGGCGAATTACATCTGGGCTCCAGACTTCACGGCCACTTACACACTTCTGTCAACAGCCTGTTGGGTGAGGGATACCCAAGTCAGAAGCCCAAACAGGAAAGCCCAGCTTTAAGAAAGATTTCTGCCCTGAGAAAAATACTGAAGTGTCCTCACAGAACATAATGGTGATAGGTACAAAAGACAGGCTTCTTGTTTTAAACATAAACTCAACTAAATGGAGGGAAAAGGGTTTTTTCTCCCAATGAAAAGGAGACATGGGAGAAGTTGCAGCTTGGGACTTCCGGATCGTATTATTCCTAGAAAGTACCCAGGCTGGCTCTTCTCACTGTGCTCACTGATGTATGATCATTAGCTTTGATCCACCCTTTGGCCTTCATGATAATCAGAGTTTGAAGTGGGCAGTTGTGGAAAGATAAATCCGCCTCTTCTTGCCTATGATGCCACATGACTTGAACTCCAGTAACCAGCACTTCCTCCTCCTAGGGTGCCATCCTCCCCACTGGGCACAAGTTCTATTTAATACCTAGAAACCTGATTTAAAAAGATCGAGACACTTAAATGTTTAATGGGCTCTACTCAGCCTTGTGAAGTCCTCTGGTATCTTCTCCATATGACCCTCTTTGGTCTGTCAGGGCCCCACTCCCGGAGGTGTCCTTCCTCTTTTCTTTAAACTCTTATTTTCCAAATAACTTTTTTAATGCTCAATTACCTTTTTGCATCCATTCTTGAATTCTTTCTCACAATGAGACCAAGAACCCATCTGTGCTAACAAAACAAATGGCAAAGACCAGGCCAATCCCTTATTAAACCACTAACCCACCACCACTGCCCTCAGACATACACACCAAAAAAATCAGTGGTTCCTGCAAGACAGCCAATCTCTGAATAGCACACTTACTACACCTCAGTTTCCCCTCAACCAGAGGGGCAAAACCTGCCCCGATGAAGTTGGGAAGAGGTGGATGTGTCTGCAAAGCCATGAGGAGGGGAGTCAGGGGCTGGCTGTGCGGTAGAGCGCCGACCTGAGGAGCCGCGCAGAACGGCCCGGCCAGCCTGGGCAGCTTGGCACCTGCTCCTCAGGGCCCCTGGCCTCAGACAATCCATCCATTTTTCCCCACAAATAAGTCAAGCACCGTTGTAGGTACTCAGTATAGCAATAAAAGCTTAGGGAAAAAAAATTAAGAATGCAAGCTCTGCCTCCTATGGAGCTTACATTTCAGTGGAAAAGAAAATAAATGAACAATGCATATAGTATGCTGGACGGTTTAAGGGCTAAATGGACAAATATAAAGCAGAGGAGGTGAATAGGCAATGCCAGATGGGCGGGGGGTTAGCAGTTAAAATAGTACAGTCAAGAAAGTTCTTCCAGAGCAGCTGGCACTGGAGCAGTCTTGAAGGAGGTAAGGGAGGAACCCAGAGGAGATCCCAGGAAAGAGTTCCAGCAGGAGGGAACCTGTGCAAAGGCCCTGGGGCAGGACCAGCCTGGGGTTTTGGAGGAACAGCAGGGAGGGGTGAAGCAGGAGCAAAGTAATCCAAGGGGAGCGGTGCCAGAGAGGCACAGGACTGGGGGAGGAGGTGTTAGAGTTTCTGGGCTATTGGAAGAACAATGGCACCACAAGGGGCAGATCAGAGAAGCTACAGAATCTGACTGATATTTTAAAAGCATAACCTCAGCTGTGGGCTTGAAAATCAACTGTTGGAGCATAGGCAGACCTGAAGTGACTGGGGCTATTTTAACCACTCAAATGAGGGGCGACACAAAGGGGAGGTGAGGGGCGCTTGGAGTCTGCAGCTCCTGTGAAGCAGAGCCGACAAGATTTGTAGTGAATCTGGGAGTTAAAAGGAAAGGACTCAGAGAGCAGGAAGGGCGGCCTTACCCTTTCTGATGTGGGCAGATGTGGAGGAGAGGAGAGTATCCGGAGTGTGGCTGGGGACATACCACAGTTGAGGTGTCACGTAGGTACGCCGTGGTGCCGTTGAGCATAGAGTTGGGCGCAGGTGTCTGAAGAGTTTTTCAGAGGCCAAGCTAAGACATATTTGGGAATTGGCAGCATATAGACGTAGCTAAAGTCAGGAGGCTGGGTGGGGTCGCCCACACTGAGCCCTGGAGCCCTCTGACATTTAGAGGTCCAGGAGAGAGAGGCAGGGAAGTCATTTCCTTTTTTTTTTTTTTTAAAGGAGAGTGTTTACCTTTAGGGCAGGGAAGCAGTTTTGGGAAGGAGCATGTGTGTTTCAGGGATGTTTCTGGAATGCCAGTAATATCCTCATTCCTGAGCTGGATGGTAATAATATGGGTGTTGCTCTACATTAGTTCACTGTGCCCATATTTATGCTTCATGCACTTCTGTGTATATAGGCTATGTTTTATCATCTTAAAATGATAGATGAGATAGATAGACAGGTAGATATTGGGTAGAAGAGGAAAAACCAGGAAAATGAGACTGAAGGGCCAGAAATTATTTATGTTGAGCCACAGTGAGCTGCACATTTAAAAAATTTACTACAGCTGCAGGGATCCTTAAAGGAAAATAATTCCAGTTTCCAAGGTAGAGGCTGTGCAGAGAAGGGGGCTGTGCTTGGAGAGGGAGGCTAAGTTGGCTTGTGTATTCCAGCTGTGGTCTCCTAGCAACCAAGGGGCTGGGAGCTGGGGATGGGCCTCGGACTATACTGATTTTCTTGGGTTGCCTTTCTCCTCATAATCACACCTAATAATGCAGCAAATTTCCCTCTTTAGAGCACATGCACATTTAATTTCTTTTGCTTCTCAATAGGTCTATGTGATAGATGAGAAAGATAAGTATTTCTCTATCTATAAGAAAGAATACCAAGTTTCAGAGAAAATGAAACAATGCCATTTTTATAGCTAGGAGGGCCTTTGTTATTTAATTCGACCCCCAGTTCCTGAGGAGAAACCTGGGACAGGAACTCACGTTGCCTGACTCCTGGAGCTCTCCACGATGCAGGGCCCACCATTCTGCAGAATGTGGCTCTGGCTGTTCTGGTGTATCACAGCTCCAGAGAATGAGAATAAAAAGGAAAATAAGATCTTAGTTTTACTATGAAAGTAGTTTGATTTTTGGCCCCCCAGGAAGGGTCTTGGTAACACCCACCCCTCCGCCGCCGCCATCCCAGACCCACGCCCTGGACCACACTTTGAGAGGCACTGCCAGCCCAGAGTATTAGGGGTCAAGTGAGCAATGGGTGGTCACCTGGAACAGAGCCAGGGCAGTAGCTGAGGGAAGGGCACGCTGGGGAGACAAGACAATTCACACATCTCATAAGGTGCCTTAATTTAAAAGGCGAATCCCTTTGGTGGGCAGGCAGTGGGGCTCAGGGAGTGAGCCCGTGCGTAAGGTGGGGAGGGGACAAAGAGGCACAGCCCTCCGGGTTACAATGTCGCCAGTCGCTGCTGTGGCCAGGAGGCCTGGGAAGGAAGCACCACTGTGCGCTTCTCTTAGTCAGCTCAGGCTGCCGAAACACAGTATCTCGGCCCGGAGGCTTAAACAACTGACATTATTTCTCAGAGCTCTGGATGCTGGAAGTCCCAGATCAGGGTGCCAGCAGATTTGGTGGCAGGTGACAGCCTGCTGCCCACTTG